TATGTGGAACTATTTTTGCAAGAAATCAAAGAAAGGATAATCTTACGCTTGGACATCAATTAATAGTTGATATTGATTAAAAAAAAAAAAAAAAAAAAAAAAAAAAAAAACCCAGCCAAACAAAAAAAGTGTATGATTAAAGGTCTTCAGTGTCTTAAGAGGATTCTTATCACATTTGTGGAGCATCCTCGCAGACTTCTAGATGCTTTCAGAGTGTCCAGGTGAGAAGCATTTAATTGCTGCTTKCTCTTTTGTTGAGAACTTTTCAAAAGTGTAAGAAAGCTGGTTTTCTGATGAATGTGTATATAAGCATTCTGACCGCAAGGAGAAAAAGAACTAGGWCACTGATGTACTTTTAAAATAGTTTTAYTGTGAACATGCTTATCTAATTGCTTTCTGCTGAATATGTATGTAATAGATACAGTCTACAGSCTAAGGTCCAATTGAATGCAAATTTAAGGCAATTTAATGGTTATCTACACCAAGAAAGGAAAGGTTCTAGTATACAGATACATATTCCCGTTATTTTCTTCAGACAAAATTTGGGTTGGGAAGGCACATCTTTTATCTTAGAGACGATATCTGATGTTTCTGAAATCGATTCAAGCGTTGTAAAATAAACTAGCTTTTCATGTTTTCATGTTTTGTTGTTCATTTCACGTATTAAGAAAATGCAAGTAATTGTAACAGCAGTATTTGAATTTCTTCATTTTTTTTTCCTTTTTCTCCTCCCTTACTCTCTTCCCTCCTTCCTTTGTGCAGCCTCAGATGAAGAGGAACCAACTTCAGCAGGTATGAGTAATTTATGATTACAACTGCATCTTCATCTTCGTAACCATTTTAATGGCTAGGATGTTTGTTTTTTCTAAACAGTTTTCCTTGTGTATAACATGTACACATGTATAACATGTATACATGTATAACATGTATATATCTAGATCAATGTAGGTTTTTGTTTGTTGCTTACTCTCTCCTTCTTTTTCTGCCTGTTCCCCTTCATGCCAGCATGTTTTTGTTTGTTTGTTTTGATGTTCGTTTGTTTTTCTGTTTTGTCTTTTCCTTGATTGAGACCTTGGGATATATAATTTTACCATTCCTACTAAAAGTATCTCAATCTTCTCTGCCATTTATTGTGTCCTTTGTGCTTCTTTATTAACTAAGTTTGTACATGGGACTCCACACACAGAAATAGGTCAGAAACTATCAGGAGTTCAAAACAATTTTTTTTTTTTTTTTTTTTTTTTTTTTGCTCATTTGTAATCTGTCTTTATGCTTATGTCAGTCAACTATATCATCTCGGAACTGACATTCTCAAAGACAGCTTGGAGCAAGCAGCAACGAAAGGGAAGGACAGAAGATGCAGAAGCATCCTGTTTAAAGTAAATATTTGGTAAACTATCTCCTGAATATCTGCTCAGAGAACTTTTATTTCCATTGACAGACTGCCAAGTAGTAAGAACAGTTAGCAGCAGTCATAAAAATTAGTTTAGAAGCTCTGCAAGAGATAAACATGTTAAGTGTTTATTCTGTTGCTAAGATGAGCTATTTCTAATTAATTGGCAATCTATTAACTTGGGAATATTTAAAAAAAAAAAAAAAAAAGGCATGCCAAAGAGGAATGCTGCTAACCAGCTTAACATATTTAAAGTGACATTAAGTTGTTTAAAATTAGGGAGTTAAAAGATGAAATGGAGAGTCACTTTACAGTGGCTTGTTGAAAGAAGTCAAGGTCTCCAGAGGAGTAAGGCAAAGTAAGAGTAAAAGAAGAAAAGAAGATGACGAGAAAGGACAGTGTTTAGAACATTAAGCTATGGCTTGGGAGCAATATAAGTAATTAAGATACAGTGGAGAATAATAATACAGAACTCAGGAGAAAAAAAAAAGAGTAGAATGTGAGGAGAGAGGAAGAATAATTATTGTGCTGAATTGGGAAAGAAGTCGAAGGGAGCTTTAAACATGAAGACTAATAGAATAGAAAAAAAAGTGTGACTGAGAAGAGAAAAACACTGCAGATTGGAGAAGAAAGGGTAAATCTGAGTACGAGCCTGACAGTGCTAACATACCCTTGAAGAACATGTATTATCATTTTTAAGTATCAGCTGCCAACTCTCTGTTTCTTGGGAAATCTGTTGAAAATCTGGTGTTGAAATTTTTATGGAAAAAATATATATTAATAAAAAGTTACTGCAGCTCTTCAAAAGAAGAGTCAGTTACGAAGGAAGATCTGTAAGTTAAGTAGTTAAATAATTTAAGTTTTTGGGTACAGATAGTGTTTGGCCCACCAGTAATGACAAAAACAGCCCTGCAAAAAAATGTACATTACAAAACACTTGTTCCAGTTGGAACCAACGGAACATCTCTTCAAAGACAGCCTCTCYCTCTGAGTTTGGAACGCTACTGCTGTCTTTGTGCAGGTCCATATTCACAGGCTGACAGGCTGATCAAGCTAACCAGCTATATCAACTGAAAACAGAAAGGTAATGGTGTTTTTAAGACAGTGACATAACTCTCTGCAAAACTTGCTGGCTGGAGTTTCACAAAAGCCCTGCAAATGGTATATTTAGCTCCTCAGGAGTACTTGCCTTCTAAAATGCCAGACAACAGAGCTTTTTTTTTTTTTTTTTCCCCCCCGATGTATCCTGCTTTTGTTTTTTTCTCCCATAAATCTTGTGTTTGACAAAGCTGAACTAATAATTTGCAATGAAAGTCTTTTGAGTATTGTTCTGCCGCAGAGTATTCCTAAACATTCATAATCTTTTTGAATTCACCTGTTAATAATGACGTTTTTTACATGAGGATTTTTCAAATATTTTTCTCGAAACCTTGATCATGTTTCATGTATGTATGTATGACAAATCAACAGCCCTTGTTGAMTGAAATCTCTTAAAAATACAGTGGATTTAGAATATGAGACAAAATACATACTTATTACAATTCGTGATAATAAATTTCAGTTGCTAACAAATGTTACAGGAAAGCATAACTAAAGATCTGCTGAAGAAATATGGTGAATTAATGTAATATTAAAGTAGCACGTTATTATATTTGGTTCTAGGACCTAGATATTTCACATGAATAGATTCTGYTGAGAAGTATTTTTGAAAAATATTTATAAAATTTTGATTACTTTGAAGTCTTTTACCGGAATTGGTTTTACTAAAGTTTTCCAGTTTTATTATTGTTATTCAGAAGGAAATTTCAAACTCAAGGACAGTCAGTATTCACCTACCTTTGGAAAAGTTATTCCAGTTTCTGCCTGAAGACAGAGCCAGCAGAGTATAACCTGATTCTATATATAGGTTTATCAAAAAAAAGTGACTATGAACTAAGATTATTTGCACATATAGATACATAGATGCACTATTYTAGAAATTGTGTGACAAGGAGAAAGCATTTTCGAGACAACTGTACATATCTTGTTTTAGATCTTCATCAGCAAAAGCAGTTTAGTACATAGTTAACATGTGAAAACTCTTTAAATGAATGGCTTATTTTTCAAGCATGTGTTTTAAAAATCTACTTGCTAGATTGCAGCTTAAAAAAGCTTGCAGTGATACTGTAACTTAGAAGCACTGTGTAAATTTTAATGATAATATATACARTCTTGTTCCTGAGGAAGTTAAAATCAAAATGGGCCTGCTGCAAAAGTAAATGGATACTGCATCCAAAGCCTAATGCGAACATCTGGAGTCTTTTACAGTGATTTTAGTTGCTTATGGTCATCTTGAAATAGAGGGACTTGTGTAGGCCGAAAGCAAAGTTCTATCAGCTACCTTTTTCTTTCTTTATTTATTGACTGGGAAAGAGAGACTTGGCAGGTTTGCTGTTCCTAGCGTGAAGTGTAGTTCAGAAGAAGGAATAAAAGGATGTAGGATTAGAATGGAAAGATGCAGTTCAAGGAAGAAGTAGTACTAGGGGATAGCACTTAACAGATACAGCAAAGTTAGGGGGGAAAAAAAAAAAAAGAAATTAATAAGAATTTAAGATTTGTCCTGAAAACTTGGCTCGAAGTGGCACCTTCCTCTAGTGTTTAGTAATCACTCTAGTGATTACATTCATGGTGTTTAGTAATCACTCTGAAGCCAAAATTGCTTCCCAAGTATTTCTTTCTATTCAGTTATGAAGACCCCAGGTTTATTTATCAGATAAGGTTTTTCCACATGTGTCTTGGGTCTAAGACATAAAACCCGTGAAAACATGTATTTTAGCACCTTGGTATCTTTTTTCATTGTGTGCCTTGAGCTGTATTTGCAGAATAATGMATTGTGAATTTAATAAAAAGTTTATGTAATTGTAATTATTAAAATTATAATTTATTAAAAATTTTATAAATCGGCTATTGTGTCCAAAGGAGAAAAAAAAGAAGTTGAAAAAAGTAGTTATGAATTTAATTGACAGATATGTCAAAGATTATTTATTGGATACGGCCTGGGTATTTCTTAAGAGATAACCTCTTAGATTTTCTTTGAATGGTTATAGTTAGTGTGTTTTTCTTTCATTTTGTAGGTTTTTTCTTTTTCATTCACATTTATGCAAGGTGAATATTACAGTCTGTTTTGGACTGGTGTAATATTAGTAAGAAATATTACTTCTGCTCTAAGCTGCGCTCAAAGGCTGTCCCTGGACTTGGTGAGATAGCTTCATTGTGAAAGGGGTAGTTTATCTTGCAGATTTCTGAATCACAAGTGTCCCCTTGATGCAGTGTCTCAGTGCTCACATTCTGGCTGTGGTCTAGAAGTGGCATGCTGAAATGGCAAAGCAAAGCCAACATCCACTCTGTAGCTTGTGAGTGTGACAGTGGAAATTGCATTCTTATTCTGGTGAAAAAGACTTCTGTGGGTTGTGTGTCTGTTTATGGACTCGCAGAAATAATATAGCAATAGATTAGTATTTGACAGATAAAAACACTAAATATTGCTCATCTCTATATTTGAAGCTACCATGCAATTTCATTTTAGTTTAGTAGAATTTTCCATCTTTTTTTTGTGCTGAAATTGTAGGTTCCTCAGGGATAAAATACTTCATAGAATTATTTACTGAATCTGCCATTGATTTTAAGTAATATGCTTATAATTATAAAGATCTCAGTGTTTCAGATAAGGCAAGAAAGTACCCTCAGYGCCATATTTTAAAAATATCAAAGTTGTTTTTGTTTTTTTTTGTTTTGTTTTTMCTTAAACTGAGAAAAAAATGTAATCAAATTTTCAGTGTCTTCTCTTCCTTCTTCATTCTCTCAGTAAATGCTTTTACTTTTTTGGTGCTGGAAGAGGTTCATCCTTGGATGGTCTAGTAATAGAAATACAGTAGGTTAAAGTCCTGGTAAGACATTGTTGATTTTCAGAGAACTACATTGTGAGCTCAGCTGATTTGAGATCTTACAGATGACTATTTTCATAGAAAGTATACCCTAAGAGGGTAATTATAGTATACATTTACCATGTTAATATTCAACTGAGTGTGACCATGAAATTGGATTTCACAAAGGACATCTCTTCCTGCAAATAATTCCCCTGTGAACTTTGATTGTAACAAGTTGAAATTGTAACTCCTTCAGTGATTATCGCTTAGGTCAGGAATTGAAATAAATTAGTATTTTTAGTCTACTCCTTAGTGAATGTTTGTCAGTGTATCATAAAAAGTAAAACACTTTGCCAAAATTGCTCACTCCCGAGAATTAGAGGAAAGTGCAAGGAGTTTAAGATTAGCCTGCATTGGTGATACCCGAGTGAGATACAGATCTGCCGTACATAAGCATTTTCTCATAATCCATGCGGTTTTAGAAATGAAGTTAG